ATGATAGTACTGACACTGTGATGCTTACTGGAACACTTGAGGGCCACAATCTTGATTGTGGGTGCAATCATGTTCACCAAATGTTGATTGAAGGCAGTCGAAAGGTGTCTCCTCATATCCATTGCATTGAAGATTATTCATCCAGATTGCTCCTTCACTAGTCCTTACCATAGAGGATGGTGTCTCTTCTTTGTTGTATATCTCCTCCAGTCCAGGATGACCGAGATACTTGCATATAACATTCCCGTCTTTCATATCAAAGTTATTAGAACAGACACTGCCCCAAACGTTCTGATTGTAGACCTCAACCCTTCCTTCATTCCTTCCCTTACCACCAACCAGTCTCATCATCATACCTTTAATGAAATCACAATTAATAAAGTGCATTAATATGATTTCATTACTTCGACAATATCTTTTATTGATATGTTGAAAGTCTCTGGTTGTTAGTACACGAAGCTGTCCCATTCTTCCCACATTTATACCTGGAGTTAGTATAGTCATTGAAGGACTGCCGCAAGCATATGGACTATAGTGCATAACAGAATAGTAGTCATATGGTATTCCATATATCCTTGCGCGTTTTACTTTCCTGAACTGATATGGGCCTACAATGAGCAGGTGGTCATAAAACAAACAAAAATAAAGTAATTGTTTCCATTATTTTGAGTGTTATTTTTAGAACTAAAACTAATGTCCTTACATGTGTTGCTGTTTACTCGTATATATCTGTCTCTGTCTGGTCTGCTTTGCTCGTGATATCGTCCCATTGCATGCATTATCTCGTGAGCTGGTGTCATTGGATGTCTTGATCCAGAGCAAGTCTTACTCAAGAAAATTCTTTTCGCTCCAAAAAGTGACCCTCCTATACCCCGTACAAAGCATCTGTTATTGATGAAATATAGTAACTCCATAAACATTATGTAATTTGCAACTTACTTGCTGCTGTGTTTCTTAAACAACATGTACCTCCCCCATCTCGACCTTCTTCTTCTCCCCCACCTCCTTCTTCCCCATCGTCTTCTCCCCCACCTCCTTCTCCCCCACCTCCTCCTCCCCCACCTCCTCCTCCCCCACCTTCTTCTCCCCATTCGCCTTCTACCCCCTCGCCTTCTCCCCCACCGGCCTCTCCGCCTTCTCCACCTCATACTCGTTCCCCACCTCCTTGTTGTAAATCTGATGCATGTTCGTGACTGAATTGCTCTCATTGAGGCATAGATGTTTCTACGTAGGATGCTATTAGAACTACCTCCTACAATAATGTACATTGCTATAACTAGAAGTAATTCATGTTATGTACTTAAGCTCCTGTGAATCCTATATCTTATTTTTCTGCCCCACCTTCTTCCCCATACCCATGCTTCAGTTTTAGCAAGTCCATCCCATCCACTCTTCTTGTAAATAGCAGCTTCAGTTTTACTGAGGAGTATATCACCATCAACTATAACACCTTCTTTCTCAGCAGGTTCTATAAGACAAAGAAGCAATAATGAATGATTATTGCACAATTTTTTGTTACCTAAGTATGTATCATCATCATCATCTTCATCAACAAAGGTTTCAAACTCTGACAAATCAGCATCTTCATCATCTTCTGTTTCCATTTTCTCCTCACGATCAGTTATCATGTCATCCATATTTCCTGCAATATCTTCAGAGTTTTCCTGCTCTATGAAGTCCTGCTCCACTGCAGGCATTGAAGAATCCTTTTCCACTAGAGGTATTGGAGAATCCTCATCTACTGGAGGTAGAGGAGGGTCCTGCTCCACTGCAGGCATTGAAGAATCCTTTTCCACTAGAGGTATTGGAGAATCCTCATCTACTGGAGGTAGAGGAGGGTCCTGCTCCACTGCAGGTAATGGAGAGTCCTTCTCTACTGGAGGTAGAGGAGGCTCAAGCATTCCATTGTCATCGTCACTACCAAATTCTTGATCTGCAAAAAAGGTTTACATGATTGCATTGTTAGTGCATAGTCTCACCAGGTTCTATTTGGCAATATCCAAGAAATGGAAGACACAGAAAAAGGACGACCAATTTCATGGTTATTGCTTCAGGTAGGACTAATGCCTCCAGAAGAAATATCTAACAATCTGCTCGCTCAAAATCCTTTTATATACGTTCATGACAGCTGCATGCCTACAGCTGCACACCTACAGCTCCACGTCTAATTGTGCTTAGATGCATAAACTCAAGCTGTTTACCCTGTATCAATGATTTGTGATTCCTGAAACCTATAATTATGATTACTGGAAAAGTGAAAGTAATTTAAAAGAAAATCAATAATACCACCTGTTGTGTACTGGAGTTGTTGTGCAGGCAGACATAGTGTGTGCTGGTCAACAAAAATGAAAAGGAGAGAATTCTCTATTTTTATGATTTTTTCTGATGCATATACATGTTCTTATGCTGTGTAGCAAGTTTGAGCCAATTCCAATCAAAATTAATTTTTTTACAAATTTTTTAAAGTTACTGTACTGTAGTTCATGGTCTCAGGCCAAATTTTACCAAAAATGAAAAGGAGAGATTTTTTACTTTTATAATTTTCATTGATGCTTTTATCTTGTGTAGCAAGTTTGAGCTGGTTCCAATCAAAATTAAACTTTTTACAAATTTTTCAAGTTCCTCAAAAATTGCACCACAGTCCATACTCATTTATATGTTATCACTTGGAGGAAGAGGAAAATGAAAATGTTGCTCTGCCAATCTACTCAATGCAATACAAGTTTGACTGGTTTTGTTATTCCAAAAAAAAAATATGTCAATTATCATACATAAAGAACAACAAACAGACTGTCTACTGACGGAGTTGGAGATAATTAAAAACAAAACACATCCTCTACTGACGGAGCGAGAAATAATTAAAAACAATGTCCTTAAAAACACATCAACTTAAAAACATCAATGCACTTGTATACATACACAACATACTTATTGTCTAAATACTTCACATATTGGATGATGAAGCTATAAATACACATAAGCATAATATTTAGACATGATGAAGCCTCATAATGGTGAACTTGTGGCTGATGAAGTTATCGGTTCTTGCTTCTTGATTTTGTACTTATTCCTCAGCCTCCCTTTAACCCAGTTAGTTATCTGCATTAAAATATTATTAGATAATGGATACACCAGCATACATAATGATGACTTACAAACTTGTTTCTCAATACATGAAAGTATAAAACAGCACAGCCCTATAAAAGATAATAAAATTCATCCATTTCTGCACTATAGCACTGACTTGTATGGAATTAAAGATTGTAAAGAGCCACTGGAAAAGTTTTGTTTGCTCATTAAAAGTGAACACACCAATAATCCATGTTATGCTAAGAAGAGGCAACAGTACTACAACACTTTTAACTGATGACCTACAGAAATTTATAATAATAAAAAGCAGCTACATGTAAAGTACTTGATAAAATCAATTTTCTTTAAGTTGTATTCAGCTCCTCCAGTCATTCTGGACTTTATGATATGATAAAGTGTCATAATTAGGAATATAGTATTGATCTAATGTTAAGATGAAAAGGAAATAGCATGCACATGAAAGTATAGCTAACTATTATGATGAGGAGCATTGGTCCAATGAATGACCATATCATTCCTTTACTGGTTGATAGCCAACAACTAAATAAAATTATCATTATTATTATTGCAATCGTTCAAAAGACTTACTGATCATCAGTACCATAAAGATCATGCTTTATTCCAGTAGATATACCAACAATGATAATAGGTAGACCTATAAGATTATAAATTGTACACCTCTGGGTTTAAGCGTATAGCTTACCCCATCCAAGAGGTAGTAATAGATACCATCTGTCAGCTAGTGATCCATACACTCTTACTATCAATATATACAGCATAATCCCTTCAGCTAATGACCAACAGAATACACACAGGAACAAATAGTGCAGCAATCCAGCCACAACTGAACACAGCCACTAATAAAACAGGAGACAGCATGCATCATTTGTATTGTTAACAGCTTACTGGTATAGATCTTGGCAATTCAATCCCAAAAACAAACACCAGTAATGCTAACAGTAAAGCAAGTGACAAGTTAATGTGCACGTACAACAGTGGACCTTTCTGGAGCTGCTTTCTAAGCATAATAATGTTTTCATAACAATAAGTATAGCAGTGATGTGTAGATCTAATACATTATTAAGTACCTCAAAGCAACGAGTAATATGATACTGAGTATTAGACAAATAATGGAAATGGAAACACCAATGTAGCTAATTATTTCCAATCCAGTGTCTTCAGCACTGGGCTATTATATATTAAAAATTAAAGGATATATACATGACCAATTTTTTCTTGCCTCAGTAGTAGTAACACCAGAGTGATCAACCAGTACAGCAAAACTAGTCAAGTGGTTGCTAGTACACAATACTTGAGAACTGGATAGTATTGTTGTTGTCATGCCATCAGTGGACCAGTTCCTAGGAAAATCATTCAAACTCATAAAACTAGGCTAGTCTTACTGCAGCGAGTCATTCCAGTAACAACAGAAAGGCTCTTCATTGCTTTCAAACTGAATAAGTAATGAATAATGATAAATGCGCCGTGTATCAATACTTCAGTAATGTTAAATATCAATGATACATTATCCATCAGTTGAACAGTATCAGAAATGTTCACTGTATTATCAGATATTGCTTGAACTGAGACTACTAGACTGACTAGAGTAGATCTACTATATGATGACAAATAAGATAGAATTCAATATTAAAAGGGACTACTTGTTTGATGCTTCTTCAAAGGATCTTTCAATATCGTGTGCATGATATACTACTAAAACTTGCCTACAGCCTGTGGAGGAAGGTTATTATGTGCATAATAATAAACTTAACATGGCTGATAGCTACATAAGCATGTGTACCTTTAGAAAAATCAACTGTGAAACAATTTCTAAACTTATCAGGTATATCGTCTTTATCATCAATTTCATCAAAAGTATAAGTATAATTATCATCAGTTGATAATTGTAACTGTGATTGTGAACACAGTGCATTCTTTGGGACTTCAATGAAGACAGATTTGCTACCATTTTCTGTCATGCATCATCAACAATTATGATATAATGCCATTGGAACATACCTGATTCATATATCTGCTCAAATGTTATCATTTCTTTGTCTATGACCCTAAACTTCACATCTATATGTACATGTATGCAGATATAATGAATGACAATAAGCACAATGCTCTGATGCATAATGTACCCAAGTTATTCCCACTGAAATTGAAGTGGCTCTTTATTCTCCCGCTGCCATAAAGTATAGCTCTGCCAAATATTTTACTGAGTCTTTTGAGCTTACTCAATAAATTAGGACCAGAATATTCATCATTACTCTAAAATATTGCATTGAAGATACATATAAAGTAGTAATTGCATCACTGACTGAGAGAAGAGAGATGTGACTGCCATTAAAAGCATTGTCCAGTGCATACAGTAGGTTCTAAATGAAAATATAGTAAACATTATTGGCGTAGCAAAGTGAAAGGGACAATGCAGCAAAAAAAACTTTGTAACTGCTGTGTATACAGTCATGTGTGTGTGTGTGTGTGTGTGCGTGTTTGTGCATGGATATGTTTACCAGGGTGGTCTAGTGTTATCATAATTTGACATTGTCATTAACAGTGGAATAAATAAATAATGGCATTAACTGTCATGGTTTACTTTCAGAATAAACAGGATAACATGCATAGCTGTTATTGGCCTAGCTTATCTCAGTATAAAATTTATATGAGAATGCATGCATTGATAAGAGCACACACTTTAACATCTTCATAGTCAATCATGCTAGAGCTTTTTGCAATATCATTTTCAAAGGCTTCAATGACTTTCTCTGCTTCTTTCAAGAACTTTTGAGCATGTTTCGCACTTTGAGACTTTCCCCGTAAAAGAGAGACAACTCTTTTGATCACATTGAATTTCCTGAGCCCATTCTCCTTCTCCAGTATACTGGCTAAAATTTCTTCCTAAATAATACATTTGATATTAATAACAAAGCATAATATATTGCACACTCACGCCAACTGGTGAGTCAAATCTATTCTTTAATACATCATCAATGACATCTTCAATCGCTTCTCTGCAAGAAGGATTAGAACCATTCTCGCAAAATCCATAAAACTTATCAACACACGATAAGACTTGTGCTCTGCCTATTGCCGTATGATTAACACAGTGCTCAATAAAACTATAAGTACAAGTAGAGAGACTTGCACCCGTTTCTGAACAACAAATGTACACAAATCCTAGAACGTTTAATTCACTGCAACTATCACTTTTAACAGCATTTTCGAAGAGCATACCAAGATGATAATTGAACTTTTTAGCAGTGAGACTAGAGCTATTAATATTGATACACGTCTGGTTTAAGTCGAGGCAGCTCGATTCATTACTACAGACAATTTCACTAGAGGGAGGCATGATAGTGTAGTTTGATGGACCTTCAATACAGCCTATATACAAATGAAAATAACGAAGACTCCTTTATAGGCTGTACTGTAGATATCATAGCTTACTTTTAGCTGTGGCAGAGGCTGTGCTAAAGAACAAGAGCAGTAGGAACGCCGCCATGATCATGAAACTGGAGATGACACAACGAATCTTCAAAGTACAAACACAAGCCAACGGAAATTAAGAGCCCACGTTTATAAACGTGGTCAAGCCGACACGCCCTTCATGATATAAATAACAGTGATTATGATAATAAAATTTAAGAATTAACAGCATCACTGTTGCAAGTTTGACTGCAATACTTTCTCCTTATCTCAGAGGATAGTGTCTTTAGTTGCATTCTCTCTAAAGCATTTATCACTTTCTGCCAAGAAGCTGCAGTGTCGGCGTTAAGCCAATAATTATACAGTTTTATTTTGGAGTCGTTGATCAATTTATTTTCTTTCTTTATTTTTTTAATCTCGTGATATTCAATGCCCAAATTAATGCCAAACTCCTTCCAATCCATGAGTGTCTCAAGAACAGTTAGCATCTCTTTTAGTCGAGGGGTTGAGTCTATAATACAGAAAACAATAAAGTATGTAAAAGTATGCATCTAACATTTATTATAATGACAATCAACATTTATTCTTACCACATGATAAGACGCATTTAGGACTTTCTGTCACGTCGACATCTAAAACAACTGATTCTGTATAATAAGGTAGGTCTGAAGGAGAGCCTTCTGAATTGCTTGCTTTTGCTTCGACTGCATTAGGATAATATAATGATGTCAATAATGGTTCAGATGGAGGTCTTACCATAGTATAGTACTAATATGCTCAGTAATACAGTGAGACTTGAAATTGAAGCTACGAGTATCCAGTGATTTGTATTATAGGGTCTATTTCCGGTAGTAGACAAGTTGCTTTTGTGACGCTTGCCTTTATCTAAAGCTGAGGTACATGTATAATATGCACATGTAAAAAGCTAAACAATAAGACAATCATGTACTATAGTATTTCATCAAATATGGCTCATGAGAATTCTCCATTTTAATAATTTTTTGATACATAATAGATATTTTATGTTGAGTAGAAAGTTTGAACTCATTCTGATCAAATTTGGATTTCTTACGAATTTTTAAAGTTACTCAGAAATCAGGTCAAAGTCCCTGTACTACAGTACATGGTCTTGGGTCAAATTTTGGCAAAAATGACTAGGAGAAAATTTTTAATTTTTATAATTTTTCCCGATACATATACATGTTCTAATGTTGTATACCAAGTTTGAACTGATTCTGATCACATTTGGATTTTTTTACGAATTTTTAAAGTTACTCAAAAATCAGGTCAAAGTCCCTGTACTATAGTACATGGTCTCGGGCCAAATTTCAGCAAAAATGACTAGGAGAGAATTTATCATTTTTATAATTTTTTCTGATACATATACATGTTCTAATGTTGTATATCAAGTTTGAACTGATTCCGATCACATTTGGATTTTTTACAAATTTTTAAAGTTACTCAAAAATCGGGCCAAAGTCCCTGTACTATAGCACATGGTCTCAAGCCAAATTTTGCCAAAATTAATAAGTAGAGAATTCTCCATTATTATAATTTTTTCTGATGCATATACATTTACTTATGTTGCGTAGAAAGTTTCAGCTGATTCCAATCAAAATTAGATTTTTTACTAATTTTAAAAAATTCATTTTTAAAAGCTTCTCCTAATTATTTAGCCAAATACCATGTGGTACATACAGTTCATGAATGGACGATTGAGCATGGCATAAAATGATAAGAGCCCAAAATTAAGCAAATAAATATGAAGGTATTATTTTCTATTTTATATAAATAAACATGCAAGTACCTTTGATATAACTAAGTGATTGTGTGTTAGAAGATGAAGAGACAGGCTGAGGTTGGGAAGAAGGAGCGTTACAAAGAAAATGAGGAAATCCGTATATATTCATTGCCCTCTGCCACGCCTTCATGAGTTTCTCTCCCTCCAGAGCCTGAAGGGGTCCTAGATTATTTAGTATGACCAGGAACTTTTTACAGTGCCTCTCTAATTGGGGGACACTCTCCATCTGGTCCATGGCCGACATGTATTGCATCATCATGGCGTGGTAGTCCTTCTCTAGCATTGCCTGCCGTCCTATCAGCCCTTTCTTCATCATTAGTATTGACAGAGGGCTCACATAGTCGTGTAGGGACTCGCTCAGTGCCCCATATCGCTTTTCTATCTCGACTTGAAGCTGACTGTTAAAAAGGTCCATGTTGATTGTAGGCGTGGCTTAATTAAATGATTATTTAATTATAATTAAGAACAAATATTAACTAGCTAATGAATAATAATTAAAGATCAAAATATCAGCAGGAAAATTAACGTTTAAGAGACAACAAAAATAACAACAAAAACAATATTTTATTAAAGAAAAGTATAGTTCCTTACTCTAAGCCACTGCATGCAATGTATAATAATAGTGCACTTTTAATGTTATTCATTGTGGTGGGTTGCCATAGCGAGGATCAGGAGGAGAGTGACGTCTCATGTGACCCTGTCCAGTGGGTTGGGTCCCTCCCCCCTGACCCCCCTGTCCACCCTGACCCGAAGGATTACCAACGTTTGAGCTCTGAGAGGAAGACGGAGGCAAACCATGATAACCAGTCCCAGTGATAAAAAAATTGCTCCCAGCCCCATAATATTGGGAGGTATCATAGCGCTGGCCTGGGGCCCCAGGATACTGAGAGGTATAACCAGCAGTGGGTGTGGTCGTATATCCCATTGTTGAATAAGGGGAGGGGTGTGGCTGACCAAATATGGAAGCCTGAGTTGTAATACCCTGCGGAGGATGAGAGCTTGATGAAGCAGTGAAAGGGAGCGAGCTCACGTAAGGACCAGGGCTTGACGAGAGAGAGCGGGGCATACGATACCCGGTCCCTCCCACCTGAGGCATTCCGCCGCTGACCATGGAGTGAGTCTGATAAGCAGAGTGAGAGTCCACGGGCTGGTAGCCGTGACGCTGCATGTCAGTGTAATTCCCGGGCAGGGTATGATGACCCATCATGTACCCCGGGGGAGTATTGTATGGTATCCCTGGGGTACCAGGGATTGAGGTTCTGTACGCCATGCGAGAGGAGGAGCTGGACAGTGGGAGGGGCCTAGTAGGTGTGTCAGAATCTGACGAGGTGTAAGTGGGTGTGGCCACAGAAGTTGTAGTGGATTCAGTCGTTGTGCTATCGGTGTCGACGTTACGAGAGGTGTAGTTAATCGGAGGGACCTCCGGTCTTGCAGTAATATCGTGAAAAGGCTAAGATATACAGTAAAAGGTGGATAAACATGTACATCATCTAATGAAAGGATTCACCTTAGATCCATCGGCAAAGACTTCATCACCATGATAGGACCTCAGTGTTGTACCCACTCCACCAGTCCTTATTGAAGAAGGAACCTAAAGTGAAAATAAACAAGTACAATAAATAAACATGTAAAATAAATATATTTAATAAACAAAGTAATAGTAATAGTAATGGGGCTAACATAGGAGGATCCAGATCTAAGCTTCTTGTTCTGGATATGAAGCTCTTGTATTGTTCTCTTGTGGTCTGCTATCTCACTCTCTAGGCCTAACTTCTCCTCTTCCAAATCTTTGAGCTAATAATAAAAGAGCATGTCAATAAAGTGCCCAGGCCGTCAAAACTAACTTTCTCTTCAAGGTCTCCGACTTGAAGGTTGTCACGCTTGCTCTCTGCCAGTGCATATTTGTACTGAGCCTCTTCAAGCATTTGCTAAGAGAGAGAGAGAGAGAGAGAGAAAGAGAAGTTAATTTCTTTTCTCCTTTATGTGTGTAGGTGTGTAATATAAACAAGGGATAGCACTGGATTGCAATATCAAATATATTCCCCCTCTTCACTATCAAATTAGCTTAAGGGCATTGTATTAATACTATAGGATATTGATCAATTGTTATTATTATTACAAACTCCAACACATTACTTGTATGTATTATGTACACTATAGTAAGTTAGTAAGCAACATTGATGCACAATTTGTGTGTGTGTGTGCGTGCGTGTGTGTGTGTGTGAATGTGTGTGTGTGTGCGTGTGTGTCTGTGTCTATTACCTTAAGCCTATCTATTTGTGCATCTTTATTCTCCATTTGGGTCATGTAGTACGATACATCCTATTTAGTAAAGAGAGAGAGTGAGGGTAAGAGGGAGAAAGGGAAATACACACAAAATTAGCAGCTGCTACTACAGTGAACTCCAAAGCTGTCTCATCTCCAGGCATGCGTGCAATTAGTACTATTATTAGTCATCATATTTACTTTAATTTCTGACGAGCTACCGCTGTTACGTCTAGCATTATCCAGCTGGTCCTTGAGAGCCATCTTATCCTGCAATAGAGTCTGAGTGTACAGACTACTGTCATCAAGTCTACTCTGAAGTCCCTCTATAATGGGTAAAGAAAGGAAGCAATAATCATAATAGAAGCAGTAGTATTATAGATGAAAATAGAAGAGGATTAGTATTAGAAAAGGATGCGTAATGGCAAGAGTAGATAATAATTAGAGGAGAGTGTCCTACTGTGCATATACTCCCTGCTTCATCACGGTGTAGAATTGAAGAGTCACATTCCGGTTATTTCAGTATTTTTGAGTAGTTATTCAGAAATAACTAGCAATAACTACTCAAACTCAATGAAAATACGGAAATATCCTGAATGTGACTCTTCAATTCTACGCCGTGATGAAGCAGGGGGTATAGGCACAGTAGGACACTCTCCTCTAATTATTATCTACTCTTGGTAATGGTCATATACTGTACCTAGCTCTGCTTGCTTCTCAATCAATTTCTGACAGCTCTCATCAGCTTGAGTCAACGCCTCCCTCTTCTCATTTCTCTCTCTCTCCACCTGCCCCTGGAGCTCGTCTATCATCTTGCGAAGGTTCCTTTCCTTCACTTCGTGTTCCTTGCTCAGTGATGAGATCCCAGAGTCAGCCTGGAACAAAAGGAGATGTGAAAATCATTTTTAAAAATTGAAAATCATGAATTAAAAATTGATGTAAAGGTAGCACAAGACTGATATGTAATAGATGTAAGCCTAAAAGATCTTCTTACCCGATTTTGTCCGACTCCAAAGTCAGTCTCGTCAGATCCTTTCTTGGAATCTTGTAAGTCTTTTTGGAGCTGATTAACGGAATCACTCAAAAGACTGCAAAACCTATCCTTGACCTGAAAGAGAGAGAGAGAGAGAGAGAGATGGAAAGTAAATTGTGTGTATGTGAATGTATAACATTTTATTGTATGCATGTGAATGTATAACATTTTCTTATCATACTGTGTGTGTGTGTGTGTAAACTGTGTAAGTCAATGTTTTAAGTCACTGCAGGAAACAGAAATGATATCAAAGTGCAGCTAATCCCCACGGAATGCAGAAGTCATGTACACCAAACACAAAGTTTACACAATCAACAGATACAATCCACTATGGCAGCAGCAAAGATAAGGTCTTCCCCTTTCAACACTATCCACTACAACATTTATTTACACCAAGTCAGTCATGCACAGACAGCTATTAGTGATTCTGTAATACACATGCTTTTAAAAAGTTCCCCACTGTAGTGTGTATACATGTATGTTATTACAACTGTTTCTCTCCATCTTACCTGCATGGACTGCTCCATTTTTAAGAGCTGGCGTCTCAGGGCTCCTACATCTCCTCCTTCTTGTGATGCTGTGATGGAGTCCAGCTGGCCTCTAAGGAGCTCTATCTTCTCATTCTTTTGATCTATGACCTCCTCCAACTGATTCACTTTCTAAAGGAAATAACAAAGTAAAATAGAGAGCCACAAAGTGTACATGATGTATATCTGTACATGTACATGTACATCTACGTATGTGCATTCACATTTTAAAATTAAAATAAGTTTAGTCTCTTTATAAAAGTGCTAAATAAGGAGATGCTACTGCGTGTATATGAATAACACGAGCATTGATTACAACTTCCTAAATGATAACAAGGACTGAAAGCAATGCCACAGCATGCATAAAAAGCAAAACAATCCACAATACACTCATTCACATACACATACATGTACATGTACACATACACGTACATGTACATGTACACATACATGTACATGTACATGTATGTGTACATAGACATGCTGAATGTACAGGAGGTACATGTAAATACATGTACAGTATATGAGGCATAATGTACACAATGGTATATGTACAAATGAAGGAAGAAAATGAAACCACTACTGCATGTACACTGAAAGTACAGGCTGCTGAGTTGTATATCTTTCCCTTAAAATGATCAACCACCAAAAGGTACAATACCATTGATACAGGAAGGAAGGGCCTGGAGCTGGAGGGAGGGTAGTACCCTTATTACCAGGTGGTAGTTATGTCACCATTTGTATGCTATACCTAATGTAAATCTTATTAAGAAAACAATTCCCATCTTTGGTGTGAAGGAGCTTTTGATCAATGGGGCTTCGTAAAATACCCACTACCCGCCTGAATAATCTATAGACAAGTGTCTCCTTTCTCTGTGACACTCCTAGTTCTATTATACTATGTCTTTGTTGGACTCAAACACAAGAATTTGTTAATGAGGAAAGACAATGACACAATAAATTTATATTATAACAACATGGGTCATTAGTGAATAACTGAGTCATGTTGTGTACAGGAAAATTAAAAGGACACAACTACACAGAGACAGCAGTCATGACGTAATGCTTTTTAAAATATGCACTGTTGGACACACATCCTTTTAACTGAGTAAGCACTATACATATATAGACACACAGTATGTGAAAGCACAAGTATTATGACAAAAAGCCCAAAATAATTAGAAACACAAATACTGTCAGTATTACAATATGCCTTTTATTTCTAATTACAATATAAATGTCATTAGGCAAGTATGTTGAAAGAGATGCAGAGAGAGAGAGAGAGAGAGAGAGAGAGAGAGAGAGAGAGAGAGAGAGAGAGAGAGAGAGAGAGAGAGAGAGAGAGAGAGAGAGAGTGGGGGAGAGTTTAAAGGGTACAATAGGTCAATGGACATGAATCATTACTAGGAGTACTTTCCATACAAGAGAGATAACAATGTCAAATATGGTCCAAAATACCCCCTAAACCTTATCATTAATTAATTAAGGCAGACACAAGAGACAATAACTGTTCTTCAGACAGATGCTGATGTACATGCATGCCCACAGCATAAATCTACTAGTCATCATCGCAATGTCATGGATATTAGTACTCTATCCCTTCCCTTCATTCTTATGTACAGTACTTCTTTTCTTACCACTGCTTCTCTGTAACTAGTGGGTCCTTTCTTTGTCATATTATCCAGCGTCTTCTTCAGATCCGTATTCTCTTTCATGAGCGTTTCCAGTATTTGTTTAGAAGGCCCTGGAATGAAAGGGCTTTGCTGTGATTGTTGGGAGTGGGTCCGAAGAGGAGGGTTCCCCGATGAAGAGGGCAGACTACTGAACTGAGACGTCTTGAGTTTCTTCTCGAGATTAGAGGATCGGTTCTCCAAACGAACAACTGCAAGCTCCAGTCTCTTGTTCTTGTCTTGTAAAGAGTCAGCTGCCTCAGTTTTTTCTTGTAAAAGACGAGCTAACTCATTCACGCCCAGAAGTCGACAGTTCAAGAGAGCATTTTGTTTACGAAGTGAGTTGCATTCTTTACGGAGTTCCTCTGCTGTCATTGAGGATACTTTAGGCTCTTCATTGCTTGAGGTGTGAGTAGGACTGACATTAAGCTGCTGCTGCTGTTGTTCAGTCATTGCCATATTATATAGTTTATATCATGAAGAATATTCCTACTGGCTTTGATTTACACAGGTGTGTGTGTGTGATTTACTAGTTTGATACCTGGAAAAGAGGACCTTAAGTAATTCCAAGAAAGAAAGTGACATTTGAACTTACTTGATTCTTGTTCCAGAAATGTATGTGGGCCCGGGTGTGACGCTGCAGTGTCTTTTATTCGGTATAGGTCGAGCTATTCCCTTACATAAACTTATCGAGCGGAGAATAATATAAAGAATGATTGGCGTGTGAAGTGTTGTGTGTTTTAATGTAGACGAGGGGAAGGTCCTGACTAGCCTTGTTTGATTGGTCAGACTGCCTTAAACGTTACGTTACGATTACAAAAGGGTCATCCCCACCATCCGCCATTTTAAAAGGTGTGTTGATAACAAAATTACTGAATTCAGTATACTTGTATCACGTGCATACACGTGTCACTTTTCAGCAAAATAAATTAGAATCAAGATGCAATGCATATTATAGCTTAGTTAAATTCCACTGTCACGTTAAAAGTACGGATCATCATTGGAGATAATGATACAGTAAAATCAGGAGCAGTGACAGGAGGGAAATTCATAGGACTAGGAACTAGAAATACATGTACACAATCATAATACTCTATACTGTCTGTCTATATGCATACCTGTTTGACCTTCAATTGTCTTCCATTGTAGTCTCTTTATATCAGATAAAGCTACATTACCTCCTAAACCTAGCTCTGTTACTTCTTTGATTTTAAATGCAACAAATAAATCCTTGAGGTAATTCAAGACACCATCATTATATCCATTAATAATAATAATACTTACACTTAGTTTAACAGATGCAGGAGCAGACCACTCTTTAGGATCATCAGATTCAAACTGATGATCCAAACGAAGCAGAATTGTTGATTTATCCAAATACTCAAGTGTCAGCAAGTGAACATTATCAGGGAGTGCAGTAGATAGTCCACTGTACTGTTAATTAAGATGTAAAACAAGAGAGAAGGAAAGTGACTGAGTACTTTAAGATTATAGTCTCCTAGTTGGAGTCCATCAGTTGGAGTAAATGCGAGCTCTGGTGTCATCATTAATTCTTCAGCCATCATTCTCTGAGTATATGCTGATTCATCAATTGTATCAAGTATCAGTAGATGCTTCCCACGAGTAACCAGACCCTCTCCACTCAGTCCTTTTTCATCTAATGCTTGACCAACCCCACGACCATCATCAAAGAGCAAGCGTCTGTGAACCTACGGTGTAAAAATAGTATTAGACTACTCATTCTTGGGTGCTACTCAGAAATTAGTAATGCAGCCAATAAACAATACTAGGAATTACTACCAATTCAAATTATACAACGTTTTTGTATGATTGTGTGCCAGGAATGTAAAATTGTTACTCTGGTAATGATCGTACCATTAATTCCAAGGATCCATCAGCAAGACTAGAGCCACCTTGTGCTCTATCATTAAGTACAGTGAACTGAGTCTTCTTCTCTTCATCCTGTGCAGTATCATAAAATATTATCATTATAAATTACTGCACTGACTTTTATAAATATCCTACTTGTCACCGGATAATAATTTCCAGCAACAGGCTCAGTGTTAAAATAAACAGAGTCATGCCTGTAATTTCTTCTGCTCAACGAAATGCTCATGATAAAAATACGAACACAACAGAATCATTTGCATTACATTCTTTTTTGAGATTCTCTTCCGTTTGAATCAGTGTAGAATGTTTTGTCAGATTCTAGATCAGTATTAAATACAGAAACGATTTCTTTCCCGTGCAAATCACTACAGAATCTATTATTTACAATTAACATTACATTATATGTACTCAATAGAAATTGGTCCAACTGTGTACTCCAGTTCAATGGCTGGCTTGTTCTTATACAGCCTCACTACCTATAATAATATATTACTCAATATCAAAAACATGAGAGCTATTTCACTGACTTGAGAGACCCAAGGAGAAAATACTTGCCTTACTTCAGATAACAGATCACCCTGTTACATTATTATAAAAATCTGGCTAAAATTTTTTATGAGTTTTACTTCAACAAGGGACAATTGAGCTGCATTGTCCAAATTTGGTCCAACAGAATATGCCACAGTGTTGTTAGGGCGGAATATGTATGCACCTGATCTCTATAAAGGCATCAAAAAGCATCAGTGCTTATACACTGTACCTGACTACTGTAGATATTGTTCCCAGCGCTCGCATTATAAAAACGAAACTGTTGATTGATGTTGCTACTAACACCAGATACAGCATTAATAATCTTTTTAATGTGACCAGTAGATCCATCAAAAGTGACATTGTAATACTAAATATTAAAGGTATGATTGATCACTGCATGCATCAAACTCTACCTTATTACTGATAGTCACATCTTCATTATCAAGCTTTCTTTTTACACGTGAAACTTTAGTCTGCCCTATATTGAGTATTACAATATTATACAGTCAAATAGCTTCATACTACAGATACCTAAATTTTGATTCGCACTAGATTTAAAAGTATACATGGCATAGCCAAGAGGAGGTACATTAGAAACTTGAAGAAATACGTCAAGACCAGCTGTGTTTGTACTGTTAACGTATGCTGAGATTTTCTTAGTCTCAGGACTTATAGGAACAATCTAAAAAAAATAATAATAATAGTGAATCTGCTTGGTTATATAATTGAGAATAATAGTCATAACGTGTGGAATATTCATTACTACCTGTATAGCTACTGTGTTATTGTTAGGATCAGTCACTGATACATCCTCCTTTATTACAGGAATACGTACCATACCAGTATATGGGCGAGCCAATGAGTTATATACCACCATATTGAACTGTACATTAATGAGAGACTAGTCAGTTGTATAATATTATACTTACATCTCCACCCTCAGTTACTGGACACACACTGATGTTAAGATATTCACAGAAACTCAAGTCCATTTTAGGTGCATTAGCTCCTTTAGCTGCAAGATCATTGAGGACAGTCGCCATTACAGAACGACACTCAACTTCTCCAATGTGAAGCCTCCTGGCATAATCATCAGCAACATGCTGCTTCTCTGTACCACTGATTCATATTATAATAATAATTATTATTAATAAAATAATTATTTTACTTACGTGACAGCATCGTGATGCTGTGCCACACCCATAGCTTGTTCTTCAAAAAGAAGAGAAGATATTTCACTCATTTTTCGTCAAACTTACGCAGTTTTACTGAAGATGGTCCATTGTCTCCCATTCCATTATGAATTGCTTCCAATTGTTTGCATGCTTGCAAGTGAGCATTACACTGCCTCACGTAACCTTTCAAAGCAGGTCTGCTGGTGAAATATCCTAAAAAAGGAAATAAAATATAGCAAAATTATTCTATCACCTGTCCAGTAGCTCCATGGGCGGTCAACATATGGAAGGAAATCACTGTTTTTTGTAGGCCAGACCGTGTCCTCATCATGAAGCGACTTTAAGTACAAAGATGGCGTGGAGTATAACAAGTTTAGTGATCCATTCTGATATCACCGAAAATCAACAACAATGCATAATTATTGTCTCACTTACCAAGTTGACATATTTGATGAGCTTGTCAATATTAGTGAACCACTTTGCAGCGTTTTGGTATTGAAAATCAGCTCCCATTGGCACCATTATGTTACGAGTTTTGTAGTGCCTTGCCTATTAGACACTCATGACACATGCTCAAATAATATACCATACCATACCTGCTTGCGTGCTTCCTCTATGAAAAGAGCGACTCTTTCTTTGACGTTATTAAAATGCATATCTTCTTCGTCGTCCTAATTTAAAATCAAACCATGACGCCATATTTGAATTACTCACGCGCACAGTCATGTGCATGAGTATCAACATTCCATAGCTGCGTTATTTTCTTACCATAATGGAAGGATCATTACAAGGATCATCAAAACAGAAGCCTTTAGGAGGAAGATAGAGACCATTCAGTATTCCAGTGAAGATGTCAGTGGCAGGACCAAGAGAGGGACTGTTCTGCCATATCATTTCCATTTCTCTAGTTATCCCACGAATGTATTTCTCAAGGTAGTCCATGCGACAGAAAAAGAAGCCATCAAATCCAAACTATTAAAGAAAGATGTTATTACAGCATGCAGGTTTTGACAGTTTTCATAACTGAGTAAACACATGAGCTGCACATGAGCTGTGGAAAGATCTTACCAAAGAGAAAGCAGTGGCTTGAAAGGAGGAGTGTCCAAAAGGATCAATCTGCCAGCCGATCACCGGACGCACACCAAAAGTATTCGATATGAACCTCAGTCCAATGGACATCTGATCAATCATTGCATTGTAATGGACTGTTGCTTCGTCATTCATGCACCATCCGCCGTTAATGAACTCTAACTGACCACTCTGTACTAATTCATGAACCTAAAGGAAATAAATTGTTATGTATTCTTAATAGTAGATGGTGTTAGTTACTTTTTCTTTTACAGATTCAGTCTGCTTGTTCCACCACTTGGTGAAGAATGCCATTTCGACATATATAAACTTCCTGTTCTTGTCCATCAAGAGCTGGCTGATGGATGTATCCAAAATATTCTCTACAGATGCATCCTGGACATAGTTAATGGCTAAAGAATGAAGAAAAAGAGATCGCAACAGTAAAAAGTTTCACAATGGCTGACCTCCGTAATAGTATTCGTCCAGACTCTTCAACCAGCCGACATCATCATGCGTGTGAGGTATCAAGTGAACGTTGAGGACCTCTCCCTGCAGGAAAGATGGAAAAGAAAAGAGGGCGAAGAGAAGAACAGCTGATAAGAACACAGTTTTCATCTCGGCTAGCTACAAGCAAGCTCAGCGCAACTTTAGTTAATTAACTATTTTAAATAGTTAGATAACTGTAGCAATAACCATGAATAAATATCAGCATAGGCCTAGATGAACATGGTTATCATACTTGCTGTCTTTCTTTGTACTTTCTTCTCTTTCTCTTTACAAGAAGGCCCTCTCAATGTTCACTTGGTCTGCCACACACATGATGACGTTGGCTGGCTCAAAACTATTGATGATTACTATTATGGACGTTAGTATATAGACATTCATTGTATGTTCAGTGTTAGACTATGCATCTATGACTGCAGGTAAAATGGAAATTCATCGAGCAGGAGCAGTAGAATCTATCCTGGACACTGTTGTTAGTGAATTAGCACAAGATCAGAAGAGAAAATTTAGTTATGCTGAAATAGCATTCTTTGCAAAGTGGTGGGATGCTCAGAATGACACTGTAAAACAAATGGTATAATATTATGTCGAATGAATTGTTTCATGAAACAGCACTCTTCTCTTTTCCTCTAGGTTCATGAATTAGTACAGAGCGGTCAGTTAGAGTTCATTAATGGTGGATGGTGCAGCAACGATGAAGCAACAGTCCATTACAATGCAATTATTGATCAGATGTCCATTGGACTGAGATTCATATCAAGTAATTTTGGTGTGCAGCCATTAGTTGGCTGGCAAATTGATCCTTTTGGACACTCCTCCTTTCAAGCCACAGCATACTCATTAGTAAGATGCACTACAAACTTCAGTGCCAAATCCTGCCATAATTTGAGAGTGTCATGAGTGTCAACAGTAGAGTAATAGTCACTGTATGCCAAAATAGTATTTAAAAATATCAACTTTTTCTTTCTTTCATAGATGGGTTTCAGCAGTGGATTTATATCTCGGATTGATTTCGTTGAAAAGTATGTACGTTACTATACTTCTGAGCTCGAAATGATGTGGCAGAACAGTCACTCACTTGGCCACTCAATGGATTTATTTACTTCAATACTGTACCCTCACTACATCCCACCTCCTGACTTCTGCTTTGACGAGCTCTGTACTGACTCACCTATAAAAGTAATGAATGAAGCAGACATAGATCTAATACAAATGATAGAAGCATTATTTGTAATTTTGCTATTTACATGGCATAATGACATCAGTGTGTATTGGAAAATGTAATAAAAATTGGGGGTGATTTTGGAGCCATTTTTTGGAAAAACCATGGGCTATAGCCTTGGGTACTTTGGAGGTTTAAAAAAATGGTCATAACTCAAAAAATTGAAGTTGGAATTGGCTCAAACTTTCTACATAGCATAAGGACATCAATATGTATCAAAAAATGTAATAAAAATTGGGAATGATTTCGGAGCCATTTTTCAGAAAAAACCATGGGCTATAGCCTTGAGTACTTTCCAGAAATTTGGAGTTTTTAAAAAATGGTCATAACTTAAAAAATTGCAGCCGGAATTGGCTCAAACTTTCTACATAGCATAAGGACATCAATATGTATCAAAAAATGTAATAAAAATTGGGGGTGATTTCGGAGCCATTTTTCAGAAAAAACCATGGGCTATAGCCTTGGGTACTTTTCAGAAATTTAGAGTTTTTAAAAATCGTCAAAATTCAAAAAATTAATTTAGGTCAAACTCTTTACATAGCATAAGGGCATCATTATGTATCAGAAAATGTAATAAAAATTATATTATAGGACATAGAAGGAGCTCATAATAATAAGGTCAATGAATTTATCAGTTATTCACTTAATAAGGTATAATAAAGTTGATGATACATTGCTATAATCATAATTTACAATTAGGGCAGACACTTCAAGACTAATAATATATTATTAACAATGGGGAATGATTTTAATTATGGAGATGCTGGTAAATGGTATAGGAATCTGGATAAACTCATTAAATACGCTAACGAGGTTCTCTCCTTACATTATTGATCCCCTAATCTGCTTGCATTGTAGAATGGATCAGTTAATGTAATGTATTCAACCCCATCACTGTACATGAAGTATGTCAACCAGGACAACAAGGTAAAATGGGAAGTCAAAAAAGGAGATTTCTTTCCATATGCAACTGCTCCACATCATTACTGGTCTGGTAAGTAACTATGAAGCATAAATTATATCTACACATGCATATTGTGTAGCTTGAAAATTTTGTAAAGAAAAGTTTGCAAGTCTTTCTTTCTTTTGTATAGGATACTTAAGCAGTAGACCTGGTTTAAAAGGTTATGCAAGAAAATGTAATGCTCACTTGCAAGCATGTAAGCAATTGGAAGCAATTCATAATGGAATGGGAGACAATGGACCATCTTCAGTAAAACTACGTAAGTTTTTAATTGTCTACGGATATTTTTAGATCTTACTCAGAACATGCTGTGGGTGAAGTTCAACATCATGATGCTATTACGTATGTTTTGTATTTATAAAATCATCCACTACATTTTTATTACTATTAGTGGTACAGAGAAGCAGCATGTTGCTAATGATTATGCCAAGAGGCTTCACATTGGAGAAGTTGAGTGTCGTTCTGTAATGGCGACTGTCCTCAATGATCTTGCAGCTAAAGGAGCTAATGCACCTAAAATGAACTTGAGTTTCTGTGAATATCTTAACATCAGTGTGTGTCCAGTAACTGAGGGTGGAGATGTAAGTATAATATTATACAACTGACTAGTCTCTCATTAATGTACAGTTCAATATGGTGGTATATAACTCATTGGCTCGCCCATATACTGGTATGGTACGTATTCCTGTAATAAAGGAGGATGTATCAGTGACAGATCCTAACAATAACAAGATACCTGTACAGGTATTATGCAAAGGCAATAATAGTGAATATATGTATGCCTAAAATTGACTGTATCTAGGTTATGCCTATAAGTCCTATGACTAAAAGGACTCCAGCATTTGTAAGGTATAATGCACAAGCTCAGTTTCATGCTGCAATTGAAGTGACTGTACCTCCTCTTGGATATGCAATGTACACTGCTAGTACAACTGGTAGCAAGCAGCATTCCAGTAAGAATATTAGGCTATTGGACATTAATTTGTTTAAAATTATGATAATTCATAGAATTTGTGACTAAATCTGATCCTTTGCATGTGAAAACAAAGTCTGAAGATGTTGTAATTAGAAATAAGGTGCTAAGTACATGTCTTTGTATAATAAAACTATAAAAATATAATGATTAATATTTACTGTTGCAGTTTTATCAAGTGAAGTTTGATGGAAAGTCTGGACACATTAAAACTATCACTAACATTGAATCCAGCATTAGCAGTGATGTGAATCAACAGCTCTACTGGTACTGTGGGAGTACTGGTGATAAAGAAGACAATCAAGTTAAATAATTCTTTTAAAATCATTGATCATTTAAAATTTTTTAGAATTCAGGTGCATATGTATTCCGTCCTAATAGCTCAATCGTATTTCCATTTGGAAAGGATAATAATAATAATGCCAATATATCAGTTATTAAGGTATTTAATGATATTTTAATGAAATATTTACTGTCCGTGTTACAGGGTGACTTATTATCTGAAGTAAGGCAAGTCTATAATCCTTGGGTTTCTCAAGTATGTGAATGAGATATACTGCATTGTTTCATTATAATCTCTACAGGTTGTGAGACTGTACAAAAACAAGCCATCAATTGAGCTTGAGTACACAATTGGACCTATTGATATAAAGTAAAAAAAGGTTTTGCTATTTTTGGGGCTATTTTTGATTTAATTTTTTAAGGGACAATTTAGGAAAAGAGGTTATATCTCGTTTCTCAACTAACTTTAAAACGAAATCTACTTTCTACACAGACTCCAATGGGAGAGAAACAATAAAAAGAATGTAAGGAATCAATAGGTATTACGAAACTGGTTTTCATTCCATGGTTAGGAGAGACTATTTACCACTTTATCCATTTTATAAAAGAACAGAGCCAGTAGCAGGGAACTACTATCCCATTACAAGCAGAGCATTCATAAGAGTTAGTACTATAATGATAACTATATCTGATGAGTATTTCATTGCTTGCAATAGGATGAAGACAGCAATCTTCAGTTGACAGTACTTACTGATAGAGCTCAGGGTGGCTCTAGTCTTACTGATGGGACATTGGAGCTAATGGTGCAGACTAATACCTCATGATATAGCTACATTCCATGCTGCTTGTATTGTAGATTCACAGGAGACTACTGCATGATGATTCACGTGGTGTTTTTGAGCCTCTAAATGAGACGGGAGAAAGTGGAGATGGTTTGGTCATTCGTGGGAAGCATCTACTGATACTTGATACGATTGATGAATCAGCATATACTCAGAGAATGATGGCTGAAGAATTAATGATGACACCAGAGCTAGCATTTGCTCCAACTGATGGACTCCAACTAGGAGACTATAATCTTAAAGTACTCAGTCACTTTTCTTCTCTC